TACATATTAGTTTATTTTTATTTTATCTTGCATATACTTAAATTTGACAAAACTGATAAATTAATTTGACAAAACACTTTCTAGAACATCATCCAGCACACTGATATTAATACACAGACAAAGGTATCTGTATATCATCTACAATCATAGGGTCCTACTTGGGGTCACCTATTAGATTTCATATTGACCACTGGTTTGCTATTTGTATACCACCTGTGAGGCTCTGAGCCTGGTATGAAGGATTCAAGATATAAAAGGCTTATGTCTTATTTTCAAGAAACAGCCACTTATTGAACAAGTAATACAAGCATGTTATGGTTAGGAACATGAAAGAACAATGAACTAAGTGACATAAGTACTTTCTTCAACCATGCCTTTCCTGCATATGTGCAAAGGCTTTTGCTTAGAAGACTAAGATAGAATGGTAACAATGACTTGTATGAAAATGACATAATCAGTAAAAACTATATGACAATAGTCACACTTAAAAATAAGAAAATAAGTTGGAAAACTCATTCATTCTTAAATATATCATATTAATTCAGGATTCAATAAATATCTAATGAGCACCTAATTTGTGCCAAGTGCTATCGTAGGTGCTGGGTATACAATGAATAAACCAGACAGAAGTCCCTGCCCTTGTGTAATTTACATTCAGGATATTTATATACAATAAAAGTATAAGTGAGTATTGTATATAGTATTTTGGATGATGATTAGTGTTTTGGGGAGAAATAAGGAAAGGAAGAAGGAGAGAAAGATGATCCAGGGATATTAAAATTTTTAACTGAGTAGGCCTCACTGATTAGAAGGCATGAAGTTCCTGATGAAGGTGGGGGAACAAACCATGGGAATATTTGAAAAAAGAACATTCCTGGCAAGGGAAAATGCATGATTATAAGCCCTAAGTTGGAACCATCCTTGGTATATTTGAAGAATAACACGGAGGCCAGTGTGGCTAGTAGGAGTTGAGGTCTGAGAAGAAATAATGAAGGCCAGATTGTATACGACATTGTAGGACATTCTTATGACATTCATTTGAGCAGAGGAATGACAGGCTCTAACTTGTTTTCACACAATCACTCCAACTACTGTGCTGATTATGGACTGAAGGGATAGAAGGGTACAAACAGGGAGAGCAATTAGTAGGCTGTTTCAATGTCAACACAACAGATCATGATGGCCTGGTGGGGATCACAGCAGAAGAAATGAAAGGAAGCATTCAGATTCTGAACATATTTTAAAGGGGAGTTGACAGGATTTGCTGATGTGTGACATGTGGGGTGTAAAGGAAGGAGAGAGTAGAGGAAAGCTCTAAAGCCTCTGGACTGAGCAAACAGAAGGTTGAAGTCATTATTAACCAAGATGATGTGGAAGGAGTAAGCTTTGGGGAGAGAGATTACGAATTTATTTTGAGCATGTTAACTTTATTTTTTTTTTTTTTATTTTTTTAAAGATTTTATTTATTTATTTGATAGAGAGAATGAGAGAGAGCAAGCACATGAGAGGGGGGAGGGTCAGAGGGAGAAGCAGACTCCCCGCCGAGCAGGGAGCCCGATGCGGGACTCGATCCCGGGACTCCAGGATCATGACCTGAGCCGAAGACAGTCGCTTAACCGACTGAGCCACCCAGGCGCCCCGAGCATGTTAACTTTAAATGCCTACCAGATACCCAGAAAGAGATGTCACATAGATGGATACATGAGTCTGGAGTTCTGTAGAAAGGTCTAGACTATACAATAGGTCAGCTATATAATAACCTGGGGATATACTGTGTTAGAGGAACTTATAGTTTGTCAGGCAATGGAAAGCTATCAAGGTGTCAAAAGGAGATGTTCAGAAGTACATTTTATCAAGTCTAGTCTAGTAATTACACTACAGAAAAAGGGACAAATTTATATACCACTGGATATGCTAAAAAAAAAGAAAGAAGATGGTAGCAATAAGAAAGAAATATATTTTTAGATCATTTTGGTGGTTGAATTCATGGAACTGGCAAATGAATCAGAAGATGACAGGATCAGAATTTGAAGGAAGTTTAGAGATGATCTTGGTCAACTTGTCTTTTTATGTCTGACCTTTATGTAGGCAGATGTCTCCCAAGATTCCTGGCCCCTGTACACTCACCTTCATCCAGTTTTTTTTTTTTTTAAAGATTTTATTTATTTATTTGACAGAGAGAGAATGAGAGACAGAGAGCACGAGAGGGAAGGGGATCAGAGGGAGAAGCAGACCCACCGCTGAGCGGGGAGCCCGATGTGGGACTCGATCCCAGGACTCCAGGATCATGACCTGAGCTGAAGGCAGTCGCTTAACCAACTGAGCCACCCAGGCGCCCCTTCATCCAGTTTTTCAACCAAGCTCTGATAGGTGCTGATATGAAAAAGTTTTTTATCTATAATTAAGAAACCAAATCCATTAAGGAGTGCACTTGTGATGAGCACCAGGTGTTGTATAGAAGTGTTGAATCATTATTTGTACGCCTGAAACTAATATTATACTGTATGTTAACTAAAGACTTAAAAAAATAAAAAATAAATAATATAGGGAGAGATTATGCAGTGGACCTGATTTTCTAGCACAAGTAGAGTGTTTAAAAGCAGAGAGTTTTCTTTGGTTCATTACAAAAGAGGAAGGAACATATTCTAAGCAAGAGACAGATTTGATGTATAAAAATTCATTCATTATTGGCTTAGAAGTAGAACGGGCCATAGGATAAAGAATCTAGGACATCTCTAGGAACTCAGAGAAGCCCTTGGCTATGAACCAGCCAGGAAATGGGTGTCTCAGACCTATAAATGTAAGAAATCAATTCTGCTTGTGAGCTTAGAAGAGGACTGAGCTCCCCATGAGTATATAGCTTACTGACACCTTGAGTTGGCTTGTGAGCCTCTGGATAAGGAATCCATGCACAACATACCCAGACTTCTGACCTACAGAACTGTGCAATAATCAATGGGTGTAGTTTTAAACCACTAAGTTTGTGATAATTTGTGACATAACTATAGAAAACTAATGCAATTTTCCTCTATAAAATGGCCAATTTCTACTTTTCTGGACTCTGCTTAAATATATAGAGCAAAAGGAAACTCAAAATCTTGAGGGGATTCATTTTAAAATTTATTTTCAGATAACTCTCTTAGTTTGTACTTCATTATTTTGAACTGATAGCCACCCTCCTCTAAATCCTAATTCTACTCTGAAAACCCACCTCAAATAGGCCTAATCCTCTTTTCAACTCCACTTCATTCCAATATGTATTCCAAAGATCTAGAAAGGTTCTGATTCTACATTCATATCAATAAAAAAGATTGAGCAATTACTCCAAAATGTGGTATGCCTATTCATATGTCATATACACAAATATCAATCTACATATTAGATTGTGTCTCTGAAGGTCTGGAGTAATGCTTGCAACAAAATAGACACTTAATAAATATTTTTTTGAACAATGAGCAAATAAGTAAGAGGACATAACAGGAGATTTCATTTATTTATTTATTTTTAAAGATTTTATTTATTTGAGAGAGAGAGAGCAAGAGAGCGAAAGTGCATGCACAAGTGGGAGGAAGGGGCAGAGGTAGTGGGAGAAGCAGACTCCCCGCTGAGCAGGGAGCATGATGTGGGGCTCCATCCCAGGACTCTGGGATCACGACCTGAGCCAAAGGCAGACGCTTAACTGACTGAGCCACCCGGCGCCCCGGAGATTTCATTTAGATAGATGGTCAGGAAAGGCTTTAATTTAAATCAGAGAACTGACAGATAAGATTAGCTTCCCAGGTGGAAAACATCAGGATGTGTTAAGATTCTGAGGGAAAGAAAGTCATGGCCTATTAGAAGCACTTAAAGAATATAGCTGGGTCCACAAGGAGATGGATAGGAAGATAGAAAGCTAGAGATGTAGTTCAGAATCAGATAACGTTCAGCCTTCTGGACTGGATTCAAGAGTTTTAGTCTTATCTTAAGTGTAGTGGGGATACTTGAGAAGTTTAATATAGACTTTTCATTTGCATTAAAGCCATAGACTCTGCTCTATCCCTATGGGAGTCAGGGAGTATGATCCAGACATTTCCCTCTTTTTGAGTCCACCACCAAACGCCCCTTCCATGTTTCAATTTCCTTTACCTAGGGTTTACTAAGCAACTAGAAATGGGAAGAAAATGGGATGCATTAGTTATCCAAAGAACTGGAGAAGGCAGAAGAGACTATCTTTTTCCCAATTCAGCAGAAGGGATGACTAAATGCCCATTGTTGTTCTATGACCAACTTTTTTCCGCCTCCAATGTTCAGACTATAGGAATGAAGACTTTAATGGCAAAATTTGTAATGCATAAAAATTTTCAGCGGATTAATAGTGGTCCACAGACTCCTATATTTTCCAAATGAGTACTGCAGAGAAATAAAGGTCTAAAAGGAGAGTTCTTTCACTTGACAAAGAAACAAGAAGAATTATGTGTAACCCGACTAAAGGAAGAGTAACAACAATTGAGTTGCCTTCCATGTGACAGGCATAATGATGGAGCCTGCACAGATACACAGTGTCTGGCACATATGGGCACTCAATAAGTGCTGTATTGCTTAGATACAATTGTTCAATGTATCTATATGTGTTGACTATATGAATAATTTATGTTTGACTATATGAATAAATTATGGTTCATTGAAACAGTCTTTTGGTTTTCAGGTGGTACAAAATTTTGTCCACATTTTCCAATCAAATGTATTTAGAAAGATAAACCAAAAATAAATCTAATCTGAGGCCAAATATGTAACTCAGAAACATTTTTTTATAGCAAGGCTACCTCAGTGACACTCATAAAAGACCAGCATTTATATGCAGTATCTTCTCTCTTGATAAACTGTGTGTTGAACTAGACTATTTCAAAGCAACTGCCCTATTGAATTACAGATACAAAAAGGATTACACTCATTTTAGCATGGAGAATCAGATTTCCATTCTTTAAGAATGACTAAAAACCTCAATTTTTTTCTATCCACAGATGGTACTAATTTGAACACATCATTCCATGCTTCCTGGAGTAATCACACAGCTTGCTTAGATTTTCTAAACATGACTGAACTGTGATGAAGCGATCAACATTCACTGGCAAGGTATTCCGTAAATTACATTTTTATTCATAAATTATTCTTATCTGTGGAATACTTTCATCATGGTTGAAATGAAAGTCTGTAGAACTATATAAGTGATATTTGTTGTAGGTTTAAATGCATGTCAGTTTTTAGTGACTATTTAGTAGGTTCCACTTAGGAGATGAAAATGTGTATAAAGTGTAATTATTCTCTGAACTTCTGAATATCAGTTATTAGAAGTTGCCAACCTCCCATGATAAGATTCTTATGGTGGTTTGTACTGACTTCTCACTGAACTGATTAAGTATACTAACATGGAAGGCCAAGTTTCTTTAATTCTTTATTTATGACTATATATTTTTATCTTCAACCACAGATGTACTTTCTTTTAAACAAAACAGATGCCTGAACAATTATATTTATAAAACTTAAGAAAGTACCAACACAATCTTTCCTAGTTTATCAAGAATATTTTTGTCTCTACTAGTTTTAAATAATCTACAATCCTTTTAGAAACACAAAGTACTGATATATGATATGAGCATATACAAATAAAATTACAGTTTACCAACACTAACATAGTATGAATCAATATAAAAATAGAAATTCCTATAAAGTTGAGTGCAAAAAAATTTCAGCATAGCAGATATAAATTTTGCACTAACTTGAATTTAATCAGTAACATTTACTGATCATTCACATTGACCAGTGTGGGCAAGTTATTATAGTCTTAGGGAATAGCTGCTTTTCATAAATATATGTAAAGTAATTTAACTAATAGAAACCACCACAAATAGGTGATGCCCAAAGGAAAGTTTCAAGGAAAGAGAATATCTGGGGGCTATAATTTGAAGGAAGAATTAAGAATCAGTAGATATGTGGAAGAAAAGATGTTTAAGCACGTTAGGTATGGGAGAGATGTAAGTAACTACAAATTGTCAAAAGTCTGGAAAGTATACTAGACTAGAGAAAAGAAAGTTTAAGGAAGTAATAATAAAAAAAGAGGGGCCATTAAGTGTTGTGTTATTGAAAGGCATTGAAAGTTTGAGAGGTGAGTTTAGGTAGTCTCTATTAGGCAATAGAAAACAATCAACAGAAATTAACTGGTAAAGTATAAACTTAAAGAAAAGCCTGAGCCTCCATGTAGCTAGTTATTAGGAAAAGTATAATTTGATAGAAGCTGGTTAGATGTTATATATACATATGCAGTGCAATGCAGGTTACAATAACAAAGAATAATTGGGAATAGATTTTTTTAAAAAGGCAAAGAACATCAGCAGAATGTGTTTATTTATTGGGCAGAAAGGAAATAGGAGTAAAACATGGAATGAACCCAGGAATTGGGTCAACAGATTAAATGTACATCGTACACTTCCCAAAGGTAGGCTATGACTTGGCTCTATGTTATAGAAAACAATACAAAGGAAAAACTCAAGATTTTAAATCTCTGTGATTATAAATAAAGACAAATTAAATGAACAAGAAAATACCATAATCTCTGGTACTGAGATGAAAGATATATTTCTCTCTCCTCTCAAAAAAAATCAAATAAACAGGTTGCCATGTAATTTAATGAACAATATCTTCAACATCCTTACATAGTAAATGCTAAGTATCTTTAACTTGGCTCTTTCTTACAATGTCTCTCAATGTGAGTGAGCAGATTATCAAACATGTTTTAGTAAAACTATTTCTTCAGAGGTTCTAATTATTCAGTTCAGGCATTCTTCTCTCTAGCAATCTAGTTTAACCCAGAAATAGATTTTGGAGTAGCTGGGCTAGAATTTATCAAAATATGCTACATAAACATGATTTTAGGTGGTACTATGAAACTGGGAACATGCACTCTTATTAGTGTGCCAAATAAAATCATCTTAAATATTACACTTGAAAGAAAGAAAACTGAGGAGGTATAAAGCAGGACAAAATTTCATAAAAATTTTTAAAGTGTCTATCCTAATGCATGTATAAATGGACAACTGAGGGATCCAAAACTCTATGGATCATAGCTATAATAATATTAGTTCTTAAGTCAAGTATTACTGAATGCATCATTTATTTATAAAAATATTTCACTAAAACTTTTGTTTTGTTTTGTTTTTGGACATTATTGAAAAAAAAGTGGGTTATATATGTTGTGTTTGGAGGGAAAATGAGTTGATTTGTTTTATAAAGTCATTAGTTTGACAGCTCTATAAACCAAGCCAAATCATGAGAATGTCCATCAAAATGACAAATTTGATTTGAAATTATTTATCTGAAGTAGTTCTTAGGATAGTAATTATATAGCAGAGTTAGTTGTCTATTAAGAACAACCCTATAACACCTGGAGATGAAATTGAATCATTGACACTAATGAAGAAATGGGAAAGATACTGGTTTGTGGGGATTTGCTTGAGGATGGATATGAGTAAATGACATGTTAGTTTCATATCTTATTAACATGAATAGAGATATCTTGGGAGGAGAAGAGTGGGTTAGCCTAAGAGATCAAGAGAAGCCAAGTTGGGATAAATAAGTATATATAAGCTTGGAAATCATAAGAGTGAATAAACATTTAAGGGGAGTATTTGTATATGTAGTATCACAACAGCAGATGATAAAGAACGGAGTCTCTGTCAAGTTAGTAGTTAATGGGCAGTGAAGTAGAATGGGAATAAGAAATCATAAAAAACTCAGTCAATAATGTCTGGCTTATATTGAAACTTGAGAAATATTTGTTTAACAAATAAATAAATAATTGAGCAAATGAATGGATGCATGTACCGATTTCAAGAAGAAAGTGTCACCAATGCTGTTACCAATGTTGATTGATGAACAAGTGTCACCAGTGCTGATTGTAATCAAATGCTACTTGAAACTATTCCTGTTTTCTAAGGATTGTGGCTGTACAGAAATCCTTGATAGATTAAAATATACAAAAGTAGTCCTGGTTCTAAAGTTTGGGGAAAGCTCTATGAAAGAAAAGGAAGAATTTGGAGTTTTCTGGGATTCTGTGACACACACATACACACACACACACACACGGAGAGAGAGAGAGAGAATCAAAGGAGAGATGAAAAGAGAAAAAACCAACAGAGGAGAAAGGATGAAAGGATGGAGTGAGATTGGGGACTCCATGAAATAAAGTAGCCAATAGAAAAATCCCTGATTGCCAAAATATTTTTAAGAACAAAACTATATACTGTTTATTTTAGAGTCATGTATATTATTGCAATGTAAACCTCCCCTCTGTGTGCTTATCACAAAATATTCAGTAAGGCTATTTTTACATCAAAGTATTCAGTATGACTAGAATTGTCAAAACCAGCAAAAAATAATTTTGCAGAAGGAGCAAAATACCAAAATATTCCAGTTCCCAAACACAGTAAGTTTGAGGATCTGTTCTGATGGTACAGGAATAGTTTGTACCAGACTAATTCTCTTGAAGATAACAACTATGCACCCTGGAGGAAACAAAGAAGCATACAAATGGCTTTTGGCTTGAGGCGTTAGGAAATGGCATGTGAGACTGCCAAAGCAGTTGGAAAAGGAGGGAGCCAAAGAGGGGTTAGACCTAAATTCTGGGTCTAAACTCATCTGAAATCCTTGGCTAATCTCTTAATTGTAGATGTATGAAGGACATACTGAGGAACATAGTGGAAAGAAACAGAGGCAAAACTGAGTAGAAATTTTAGTTGCTTTCCAATGCAGAGGAGACAGAATTTGGAGTTTCAATTCCACCAAATTAAGGGATTGGTAAACAGCACAGTCCTCATATTAAAATCCTAAAAGGGCCCATACCTTTAACTTTACTCTATATCCCAGGATTAAGGTAGTTCTTCTGTAAATAATGGAGAAATCAAAACCACACATTCACAAAATTACTACTCAGTAATTTAATAGTCTGTTAGAATAAAAACCAACACTCTTCAGAACAAGATAGCAAAATCCAGAGTTTCTGCAAAGTATCACCAACAATGTCCAATATAAGCTTAAAAATTACTGGGCAGGCAGGAAAATTACTAGTGACAGGAAAATGTGACTCACAGGAGGAAAAAGTACTCAATAGAAAGAGATCACAGAATAAGTCAGGTGAAGGAATTAGAAGGAAATGAATTTCAAACAATATCAGTATTTTATTTGACTTAACAGAAAACATGATCATAATTAGAAACCAAATAAGGAATTTCAACAGAGGAATGGAGATAAGGAAACACAGAACTAAATAAAAATTCTAGAACTTAAAAATAATCTGAAATGAAAATTCACTGGATTTAACACCAGAGTAAAAATGGCAGAAGATAGTCAATAAACTTGGTAAAACATCAACAGAACTCCAATCTGAAGAACATAGGAAAAAAAGTGAAAAAATTTAATAAAGCCTCAGTCATTTTAGGAATGCTATCAAGAGGTTATAATTGGAGTCTCAGAATAGGATAGAAAATGGAAGAAAAATATTTGAAAAAATAATGACCAAAAATTTCTCAGATTTCAGAAAAATATTAATTTACCAATACAAAAAGTTAAATGAACCCTTAGCAAAACAAATGCAACAAAAAGTACACTGGCCATATCACTGATAAACTGCTTTAAAGAAAAAGGATTTTGAGAAGTGCCAGAAAAAAACAACATGTATCACAGACAAAAGAATGATATCTTTAAAGGGAAAAATACTTGGGGGGAGGGTGGGGAGAAACTAACTTCCCAGAATTTTATATCCAGTGAAAATATTCTTCAAAAATGGAAGGAAAATAATTCTATTTTTAAGTAAATAAAATCTGAGAGAATTTGTTGTGAGCATACCTGCACTAGAAGAAAGTCTTAAGAAAGCTAAAGGGAGGTACAGGAGGGGAAGAAGGAAGGGGGGGAAATTGGAGGGGGAGACGAACCATGAGAGATTTTGGACTCTGAGAAACAAACTGGGGGTTCTGGGGGGATGGGTTAACCTGGTGATGGGTATTAAAGAGGGCACGTTCTGCATGGAGCACTGGGTGTTATACGCAAACAATGAATCATGGAACACTACATCAAAAACTAAT